GTATAACTTTGTGACAATTTGACGAAAAACAAGTGTTAACCATATATTAAGCGAAAGGCCGCCACTATAGTGTAGTTAGGATTCCATAAAGGGATATCTAATTTATTTCTCTGAAACACTTATTTTCCTTGGAAACTGTATGTGATTTTGGGATCTTCTTTTACCCTGTCTCTTTGGCTGTTGTGTGTCTGTTACTAATAGTAAAAATAATTGTCATCACATCTTAGCTTTCGGTACCAACCACAAGTTTCACAGTCTGACAGACTAATATTAAACCAGAAGCGAACACAAAGCTGCCAAAATTCTAACTACATAGAAAATAAAAAAACAATGAAACTGTATATATATATATATTTGACGTGTAATTTCATCGGGATCTGTTACTTTACTGTCAATGCTCACTGTACAATATATAAATCGTGATACTACTAGTTAATGTAGTTTACTGTCGTGAAGATGCAATAAAATTTACAAGGCATCATTTAACTTTCGAGAAACTTACACAAGGTATTTTAATGCCAGTAAATGATCATGTTATGCTTAAAGATACTGACAAAATTATTTTTCCGTCTTAACAAATACAGTTCAAACCCAGTGCAAAAAGCAATGTTTTTTAACTAGTTCAAGTTGTTTCTACATTCAAAACTTGCACACGGCTGTACATCCTTTACTATACAAACTATGTTTATATTATATTATAAAAAGATGATTTGCAGTCAAATATTATATGACACCACGTTTCAGTAGAATAATTCTTGACTTAATCAAATTATGGCTATAGCATTATCAATATATGGTTAGGTAGTCTTACCGTTTGGGTTTCAAGTGTCTACGAAAGACACCCAACATCAAGGGTATTCCTATAGGTAGAAATAAAGACGCTGACAAAATCCACAGATCTCTGAACGTAGCCTGCAATATTAACTAATACAGTTTGGTAAAACAGGTAAAGAGAACGTGATCCTCGAGACAAGATAAACAACACATGTGAACCTTTACGTCCCTATTGTGCCCACATGCGGATAAGTAGGGGCCGAAGTAAGCTTCTTCAGGATTATTGTTCGTCACAGCCAGACGTTAGTTGTAACTTTTTCAACTACACATAATATAGGAGAATCTTGTAGAAATATTTACTGTAAGTTATACACTGTTACTACTTGTGACATGATCGAAACGTTTCTGTACTTGTAGTCATGGCCTTCTAAGTCTGTGCTAGAGGTACCCTAATGGGAAAGCAAACACAGTTTAACGTAAATATCGCCGAATGATAATTAACCTTCAAGTGATTGGGGCGGTCTTACATAACGTTTATTCTTTAGAATGCAAATATAGCTTTATTCCGCAGCCTGTAGTACAGAATAAACTAAACAATGGCAAATTTCTGAAACATGTAAATAAAACATAAGGAGATCGCGCGATAGCCTTCCCTTGGTATTCGTCTTATTAAAACAGATCTTCTTCGAAACCCAGTTCAACAGCGATGGTGACGTCGCAGCTGCGGGCACGATCAATATGACGCATGCGCGCGAGAAACGTGCAACAACGTGAAGCTCTAAGTAATCGATTCAAGAGCAGTGTCAAGCCCACTGAGCGGGTATGGCTTTCTTATTACCAGTACTTCATCTCAGGAAATCACAAGTACAATCCACAGAAGAAATCTTAAGTGCGACTTTTTAGATATGCAGTTAAACCTATTTTTTATTCAACCTTATAATTCATTTGTTTCATTTCGATATTCGTGTTTTCATCTGGTTTCCATATATAATTTTCTTTAGTGTTAGAAAATGTATCAATAACATCAACACCATTTTAATTCCATTTTGTGCTTAACTCTAGATTTCGTCAATATTTCTTAACTTTATGTACCAAATTAGTTGTGGATCCATAACCTTGTTCATGTTTCATAAAACATAAATAACACACACAAATAAAACAAAAATATTATCAATATAATTATATTTCTATTAACCCCACTAATTATTATTGGTGAGGTCTCCTAATCCTATGCATATATTATGTAACATGAGTGATTTCACCCAATTATTTTGTTCAATTATGAGTGCTGTAACAGGTAAAAATATAAATTTACTCATAATAATGCAATATGTTGACCTCACCTGTAGTGAGCGGCATAAAATCAAATCAGTATTTTGAGGACTTAAAGGTTTTCGTTTGAATGGTTGAAAATGTTCCAGCTAGTTCTAGATTATCTAATTCTCTATACGTCGTTTTCACAATAAGATATATCAATGAACAATTTTGTAAACTTCGGACTATTCCATTATATTTCATTCGAGTGCCCTCTATCTGATGATGAAAATTCAGTCAAAAAAAAAAGTACTTTGCTGAAACTTGAGAACAAGATAATAATAAGAAACTAGGAAATGTTCATCAATATTATTTAAACCTGTGCCACACAAACCTATCATAGAAAAAGGGGCGGCGTCACGCCATGATGTTTTATTCTATGAAGTTCTTATACTATTTCTGCTAAAAAAGCATAAGCTTCTGGTGTGAGAGCCCTCTGTTAGTACCAAATGAAAAAAAATAGATATTATTTTACTACATTTTAATGTTACAAACGAATCTCGCAAACTAATTAAGAGCTCAAATGTCATCTTTCAAAATAATCTTCAATCGTGCAAGCATATTTCATTATAATTACATAATACCATCTTTATTGTTTTAGAATTCGTTATTCTATTTATAATGGTTCTCGTAGCAACTTGTATTGTAAATAATCCAACCAAACAGAAATTAATTTATAACGAATTATTCATAACTTCAGCAACTGATTCCAAGGTTTTGCTGGCCAAATAAAACCAAAACTATCTAAATCAAAACAACGTGAAAAATAAACAAATTCTATTTTACAATACATTAAAACAGAACAAATAAAATATGATTGAACCAAGTTGTATTGATATTTTAAGAGAAAATAGACAAGGTAAAAGGCCTAAGTATGTACTGTGTATGAGAACTAAACACAGATCTGGCAGGCTTACAAAACTAAATTTAGGATGGACTTTGGTATATTGTAAAACTTGATAAATAGTTAGTCTCAGAGAGGAAATGTTATTCTTTTTTTGTTTTTTACAAAAGCTTTAATCCTTTTATAAATCATACTATAACAGAATGGAACTATTATTATTTGCCTATCTGGTGCTCTCTCTTTCTTTCTCATTATTAAATAATTGAAAGAAAAAAGTACATAATCATTATACAGGACAAAATGAAAAGCGACCTATAACATTCATCAGATCAGGGTTTATTTTAACCTGCAATAAACCCCTATTTGTTCAGTTCTAAATTTAATTTTGTGCAGTACTAAAATTTATAATAAAAACTCCAATGTCATATAAAGAAACAAGAAGCCAATGCATGATCATGATACTGAAAAGCAAAAGTACCTTTATTTATTGTTTATATGACAAGAAATATATTTTAAATTTTACATATGCTGATTAGAATTTTGTTTTAAAATTTTTGTCAAATACTAAGATGGTTAAAACTTAAAACACTATGTTTATATGACAATAAATATATCTTTAGTCCTACATATGTTGAATAGTACTTTAGTTTACATTTTGTGTCAAATAATACAATACCACATGAACTTACATGATAAAGGAAGGTTAAAAAACTTAAAACACTCATAAATGCAAAATTCTGCTGAATTGTACTTTAATTTACATTTTATGTCAGACACTACACGATAAAAGATGGCTAAAACAGTAAAAC